GCTAGTATCAATATAGTATTTATCTTCCAAATACTTTAAAACATTATTTCATTTATTACTTCAATTGATGTTCCTGCCATACAGGTAAGAGCTACTACAACATTTTATGTTTTAAATTGGAAAGCTACATTGAAAAGACTTTATGTGACTTGCCCATGGTAACTATTTAGCAAGGTTAGTCTTGAGTCTATTCAATAAAATTTACTCAGTGCCTAAGGTTCTTTAGAACATCTAGATCTGTGCTATCCATACAGTACACATGAGACTAAATAAATTTAAATTAATTAATAACATGAAACATTCAAAGTAGGCACATTACAACTGCACAGTAGCCACATATAGCTAGTGGCTATGATCTCAGAGAGCACAGATATAAAACATTTTCATCATCACAAAAAGTTTATGGGGAAGCATTGATCTGGATAATAGGAATCTTTAAATGTTTGTTTTAATAGAAAAAAAAGACCCAAAATTTATAATAACCACTGATATGACTATTGTTATAGCATTGCTGGTAAGGCTAACAAAGAAAAATAGAGGACAATGTAAAAGCATATGTTAATGATTGATATGAGACATATGCTGATAAAGCTTTTTTTCTTATATTTAAATGAAAAATAAAATAATGTGGTAGGCATCGTTTTGTTTTAAAATTGTGAATCATGTGGTATTTGGTGTTATTTCAACTAAGGATATTGAAATTAAAAGATAATTTTTCAGGAATTCAAAGATAAAGAAATAATTTTTCAAACATCATGGCGGATAGGAGTCAGTTAACAGCAGGAGGTGAAAGCAGGCAGGTCTCAATTTCTCCACATCCAAGGCAATGCCAGATGACAATCCAAAATGTCTGCAAAAAGTGGGACCCAAAAATATCATACTCATCTAACCTCTCATTCAAATACAAAGCATCAGGCAGATTTTAAACACACACAAACTAAGGAATACAGCTATTCTTGAAAATACAATTTGCAATGAAATTCAGGGAACCAAGAAGAAGGGAATAAAAGTTCACTTGGGAATGGAGAAGCTTATAGTAAGTAGTGAACCCATTTCAATGGAAATTAATAATAAATGATTTTAGAAGTTATTGTTACAGAAAAGAATGTTTTATACTTTGATGATATTAAAATCAAAACATATTAACAAAATTTGGACAGAAGAGGAGGAAAGAGGAAGGAAGAGGAAGTGTAAGGCTAATTTATTTATTTTTATAACAATGAGTGAACTGATACTGTCTAAAATTGAAACATGTATATGCCAGAAACAAAAAATTACTCTAACCACTGATCTGTATTACTTTCAACAATAAAGATAAATTTAAATATATATATAAAATAAATAAATAAACTCAACTACTTGTTAAAGTAAAAAAATAATAAATAAATACAATGTGCAGGTACTTTTAAGCTGTATTTCTTTTTCAAAGAAGCATTTACCTTAATTTTAAGAATTTCTTCAATTTTACTTTATCTTCTACTAAATTCAAGTAAAACTAAATTGCATATTTTACTTAAGTACACCATTTATTGTATAGTTTATTTCAGTAAAGCCATTTCTATCTATATATACAACTGCTATTTATTACACACATGTAGCAATATCTGAAATCATATTCACCTGATACAAATAACAATGATCTCTATGTAGTAAAATCTGTGGTGATTTTTGTTTTTATTCTGTGAATTGCTTGAATATTTTTTAAATCTTTATTGCTGAAAGTATTACACATGTCCCCCTTTTTCTCCCTTTGACCCCTTATAGCCTGCCCCCATTCCCTACCGCAGGCCTCCACACACCTGTTATCTGAGTCCATGGGTTATGCATATATCCATATAAGTTCTTTGGTTGATCTCTTCCCACCCACCACCCTCCTCCACCTTCCCTCTGAGATTCCTCATTCTGTTCCATGCTTCTATGTCTCTGGATCTATTTTTTTCATCCATTTATTTTCTTAAATAAGTACTGTAAAAAAAAAATACATAGTGGAACTTGTTATACTATCTCTCCTGATAATAATTCTTATGAATAAGACTTTAAATGTTGATGTATAATTCACGACATATTCTTACATATTTCACTATGCTATGTCCTCATTTCATAGCTGAGAATCTGAGTGTCATAAGGGGAAATAACGGTTCACCCAGCTAGTCACTCAGATCTTCAGAAACCTAACCCAATGCTTTCAGGAAGATTGGCCTTCGCTTCTCTTTAGTGAGGTAGTAAGGGAGGACATTATCATAAATGACTCAATAAGAAGTTCCCACTGTTAGAAACAGACTAAAGACTGTGACCGTAATGGGGGATGGGAGGAATGGGAGGTAAGGTTAAACAGCTTTAAAGGTAGATGATCTAACCAGAAAATAAAGGCAGGAAACCAAGCCAGAATCTTTTCCCCAATGATACTGAATCAAAGGAACAAACAAAATCAAATTTATTGCTCACTTGAATTCCAGCCCTTGTTTTGGCATTATTCAGGGTAACACAACTCTTTGTGCTCAGAAGATCCTGGAAATTTTTCAACTGAACCTATGCTCATTACCTAAAATAATCTTCAGAAAAATTTCAGTAGAGAAACTGAATAAAAAGAAGCATTCTTTATTTCTCCAACCAACTCTGGGCAACTACATTAGGGAGGAAAGAAGATAAGTGTTGCTCAAGTTAGATTTGAATAAGGGCAGGAAATTGCATCTTTTAAAACAGATAAGAGCTTCCATCCAATAAGTATATAATAATAGCTTCTATCATTTGAGTTAACATTTATATTATTTAAAATAAGTTCTCATCCTGGTGCCGTTCTATAATTGGCGTGTGACAGAGTGCACTTTGAAGCAAATGGGAGTTCAGAAAGCATCTTCTATCTTTATGTTATAAGCAACCTTCAGACTTGCCTAAACAGACAAACTTTCTTCTGTTGCTATGCAACTGATATGCATACAGTCAATCAGACAGTCAATAAATTATACATTTGACAATGAAAAGTCTTTTCTCCCTGTTTGAGAGTAAGCCACAACTTCCTTTCATGTTATACTAACCACCACAGCCCTCTAAGGCTATGTCACAATCGCCAATATTTTGACACGATAAACAAATGAATGACTAAAACAGCAATGAAACAGATGCAGCCAATACCATTTAATTCACTCCTGCAGGCCTGGGAACATGGGCACCCAAGCCTGGTGGAAAGAAGCAAGTTTATCTCACACCCACATTCTTCCTGGTAGCAGAATATAAGCAAATTTAAACAAAAGAGGTTCTGGCAAATGCCGTTGGCAGTCACCCATCACTGCTATGTCTCAGGCATGCTTCTATGTAAGTGCCTAAGAGTGATGTTAGCCCTGAGAGAAACACCTGTGAGGATAAGATGTTACAAGCCTGGGGAACTTGTGACCCATGGGCCAGACGTGGACAACAACCATGTGTAACATGACCTGCTCAACATTATTCTCCAACATTGAAAATCTTTATTTCTATTTTGTTTGTTTATTTTGTTCACTAGATTCCACATGTGAGTGAAATCACATGGTATTTGTCTTTCCTTACTGGCTTACTTCACTTAGCATAGCACTCTCCACATCTCTCCTTGCTGTCACCAAAGGTAAGATTTTCTTCTTTTTTACAGCTGAGCAGTATTCCACTAGGTCAATGGGCCACAGCTTTTTATACTTGCAGGGATCATTTCTATAGCTCATTACTAGCAAATCTGATTTGATGCTCCTTACTCTAGGCTAGACTAGTGGTTCTCAAAGTATGATGCCCAGACAAGCAGCATCAGCCTCACCTGGGACCATGTCAGGCCCCACTCCATACCTGCTCAATCAGAATCTATAGGAGGGGCCCAGAAATCTGCTTCAACATGCCCCCCAGTGACTATAATGCGTCCACAGGCTGAGAACACTACTCTGGAGCACTGCACATGTTGAACGACGTACAAGAAAAGCAGACTTGGCCTGCATTAACTGTCCTGGCCCTACAACCCCTCCCTCAACATATTTCAACAAACTAAAACACAGAAAAATCGACTGGCTTCCTCAAAGCATTTCTATCAACTTCAAGTAAAAAAAAATCCCCAGAAATGATGTGCAACCCACAAATGCCCTCCCTGTTTTAGCTACCAGATAGTTTCGGATTTAGTATTGCTACAGCTGGACGGGAAACACTCCCCAAAAAGGTAAAGACAACTTTAGATCAGTTTGACTATGAAGACAATACAGATTACAAAGCATTCAGTTATAGTGCAACTCTGAAGAAAAAAAAAAAAGGAAATCTATATTCCAGGAGGGAGCATGGTTTCAGAGGGCCATAAAAGCATCTAGAAATTCACAAATTAAGACCATTAATCCTATTTTCATGTAACTTGCATAAAATTTACTTAAAAGACCATATGTGGAGCTCCATTTGCTGGGAAGTTACCAGCTTTTTAGCACGTCACCATCCAACCACATACTCCAGTGTAACTAGAGTGAGTGTTCTTTGCCAACAGAAAAGTCGTTTCTAAATCACTTGGGGAAATCAGAGGTGCTTATTACAGTCCTATTAATTTATTAATATTACTTCAAAAAGCATGAAATAGTTACATGCTAAGACAGTAATATTCCTTCTTTCTGCTTGAACAAAACATGAAGAGGTAACTATTTCTTTTTAGAAGATTAAACAATTCTATTTTATCGGATTTAAATATAATTTCAGAACAAAAGATTAATGTTTGTGTCCATCATAGTATTTATGAAATTTCTAGCATTTAAAGAAAGAGAGACAAAGAAAGTGAGATCCTTAATAATCCTATATAATAAAAGCCCAGCAACCGAATGGCAGAATGACCAGAACAACCAGTCGACCAGTCGCTATGATGTGCACTGACCACCAAGAGGCAGATACTCAGTGCAGGAACTGCCCCCTGGTGGTCAGTGTGCTCCCACAGTGGGAGCGCCGCTGGGCTGACCGGGATGAGCGGTGCTCCCACAGCGGGCCGATCCCCACCGGATACGCCCCACACCAGTGCACGAATCCTATGCACCAGGCCTCTAGTAAAACAATAAGACATAAAATAATGATCTTATTTTAAGGCAGTGTTTTTCTCATTTGTTTCACTCAATACTTAACAGTGGTTAAACAATCAGGAAGATGGTGAAAAATCAATCTCAAAATTACACTGACTACCAAGTCCACCTATAATCCATCATATGACTGGTTTGGGGATAAATCTAAAAGTCACGTGACCAGGCCTCTGTGGGCAACCAGTGAAGCTGCACAGAACTCCACACTGAAAAAGGGGCCTCATGCCTGGGTTTAATGTTCTATGGCTGTTGGCTTAAAATTCTTAATAATTTCATCTTTGAGTTCATTTTTTATAATGAACCAAAGAGATAAGCTGGGGACCTGGAGCCTAGGTTCACACATTGTCTCATCTCCCACCATCTCCTCCCCTCCCCTGAATGAGTCCTTGGCTTCTATCTCACCCAGTGACAAGGCCACTCTCCACCTCAAGGGTCCTGGACCTGGACTGAGAAGAGTTGGGGCAGATCACAGGATGGTGTCCCAGGCACCTTTGAGGATCTGCACTTGCCCTGTGCATATCCCTGTGCCCAAGGAAACGTGGCATTAAATGGCAAATAAAAGATACCATGACAGATTAAGAGAAAAACTGTAGAAGAAAGAAAAAGCTTTTTCTCACTTTTTGAACAAAGGACTGGCATTTTCATTGGGCATGATCCTCACAAATAATGTAGCTGGGTTTGCACACGGTTGTGATGGAAAGAAGCAAGAGAATAAAGAAGAGGAACTAGATGGTATGAGAAATAATGCAGCATGCATGGAGGAATAGGGAACCAATTAGCATTAAGAAAGCAAAATGGTTAAATTCCATATTGTTGCAGATGGACCAGATATACTCTTTTCAAAATAATGTTTTATTTCTTTCTGGTTAGAAAGCAATGTATATCACAAAATATTCAGATATATTCAGACACTGAGGATGGGAATGAAAATCTACATTCAAAGAAGTAGCACAGCTCAGGGTATTAAAAAAGTCTCTAGAAAATCACAGATTACCACCCACTCATCCCAATTCTACCAAGTGCTACTTCGTCAGTGTTGTGAATCCAAGTCTCCCAGGCATGTTGAACCTTTGGAACCTGAGCTTATAATTTAAGAACAGTGTTTTATGGGTATCTAAACACAATGCCGGCTAATAAACAGTGTGATCATTAAAATTTTCACCTCAGCATTAGCTACCTTCAAGTTTACCAAAGGATATCTTTTGTTTTTCAGCACGTTAGCCTGCCAAGGGATGACGTTGTCTAAACACATTTTCAATGTTTTCTTTTTAACAGTTAATATATTTCCAGGATGCAGGTCCATTTCTTTCTAAAAGGTTCCTAGGACACCCATTGAAAAGTCAAAAGCAATGAACTAAAAGGGATTGCTATTTTGTTGGAGAAGAACGACACCCTTTGTATCGAAGTGGGGAATTACAGACTGTGGTCACCCTCTGCACAGTGTCTCTTTGTCAAGTAATACATGCTGGAAAAAAAATAATACAGATGGGAAAATATTGTGCACTGTCAGATCTTGGAAAGGGCCAAAGGATTTTTCCTCACCAATGTCTTGTCGATGGCTTTCACATTCTGGCACCCTGAAAAAATAATGCATACATTTAATATGAAATGAATGCAATAATAATCAGGCAGGTAATCGTTTTCCCAAGGAATGTAAAACTTGACAAATGTAAGGTTTATGATTCAAGGTAGCCTTGCCAAATCTTATGTGGCATGAGACCATTTTTATTACCTAAACAGTCCTTAACACAAAATGACTGGCACATATTTTTATTAACACAAAGAGTATATTCTTTCTGCCACATTTAATAAAGAGCCAGTGGCTGAAAGCTCTCTTTTAGGATGTGTCTGTAGCAAATTAAAATGCAGAGTGAGGATTCACAGAATGACATTCTTCTCACTGAGGCTGTGTCCACACAGGCTCAGCACAGTCGTGAGTAGACCATTGATCTTGGGGAGTCTATCTACATAGACAATCAGGGTGATATGGATCACAGAAAAGGAAGCCCTCATTATCTTCAAAAGTTGGGGAGTTGATAATTAACTCAAGGTCATTCTTTGCATGTGGAGGTCCATCTGAGTCAAATCCAAAACAGTTCCTAGTAATAATGCTGCTTATTTATTCGTTCATTCTGCAAATATTGTTTATGTGCCAGGCACTGCTCTACACACTAGGAATACTGCAGTGAAGACTATAGACAAAGATCGCTGCCATGTGCTTCTTACATTCTAGAGAGGAAAGAAATGCTACATAATGCATATAACTTAAAAAATAAATCATAAGATAGATGATCTATAGAAGGTGATAGGTGCTATGATAAAATAATGAAAGAATGATAGGGAAAGAAAACTGGAAGCTGAGGGGGTGGGAAGAGAGC